AGAACTGAAGCTCTTCAGCCTGGAGAAGAGAAGGCTGCGAGATCTGCTAGCGCCTTTTCAGTATCTAAAGGGGAGCTACAGGAAAGAAGGGGACAGGCTCTTTAGCAGAGTCTGTGGTGATAGAACAAGGGAAATGACTTCAAGATCAAAGAAGGTAGATTTAGGTTAGATATAAGGAAATCTTTTACGGCGAAGGTGGTGAGGCACTGGAACAGGTTGCCCAGTGATGGGGTTGATGCCCCATCAAGGCAAGGCTGAATAAGGCCTGGGCAACCTGATCTAGCTGTCACGACCCTGCTCATTGCAGGGGAGTTGGACTTAGCCTTTAGAGAAGGCTGCGGGGTGACCTCATTGCAGCCTTTCAATACCTAAAGGGAGCCTACAGAGGGGAGGGGAATCAACTCTTTGAAAGGGTTGATATGTGTAGGACGAGGGGAAATGGTTTTAAGTTGAGGGAGGGGAGATTTAGGTTGGACATCGGGGGGAAATCCTTTACCCAGAGAGTGGTGAGGTACTGGAACAGGCTGCCCAGAGAGGTTGTGATGCCTGTCCGTGGAGGTGTTCAAGGCCAGGTTGGATGGGGCCCTGGGCAGCCTGGTCTAGCATTAAACGTGCAGGTTGGTGGCCCTGCATGTGGCAGGGGGGTTGGAGATTCATGATCCTTGAGGTCCCTTCCAACCCTGGCCATTCTGTGATTCTGTGATTCTGTGATAGAGGTCCCTTCCAACTCTAAGGATTCTATCCTTCTATGATTTTGGGCAAGACATGAACTATGCTGCAGGGCTGCCAGCTTTTATCTGCTTTTCAGTGATTAAGAACAAGACAAAGTCATCAACTATTGTTTGATTGGTTATTTGTGGCCTTAGAGGTCAAACCCAACACAAATTATGTAAGTTCAAAAAAATATAGCAATGCAAAAAGTAGTCACGCAAAATGAGGCTTTTCCACTTGAACTTTTCTTCACAATCACCGGTTAGTTGATTTGTCCCAATATTTATAGTTCATCGTTAAAACTGCCAAAACTGGCAGCCATCAGGATTGTTGTCTCAATTAAGGACAGTAAACAGATTGTCCCCTTTTTTTTTTTTTTTAATAAAAAAAATCTAAAATGTATTACTTCACAGTTTTACATGTTTATTCATTTAAATGAGCTAAAAAATAGCGATGTGACATCTGCTTGATAGACACTTGTACCTAACATTTTGGCTGTCTCCCCACCAATTTGGTTGTGATTAAGGGAGGGGGGAAGTAAAAGAGAGGATTCTATAACTTAAATGCAATCATAAACTAAAAAAAACTAATTTCTGTTCCTGGAAAAGAGTAGAAATGTATCTACAAAAGTTTATAACCAGCATAGAGGACGATGAGGAAAAGTGATGCAAAATACTGGCATAGGCCCTTTCAGGGAAAAATATTATAAGCATATAATCACAGAGCATCTTTGCCAGTTTATTCATCTAATGGATTAATTTCCCAAAGCGTGGGCATAATCCACTACAATTTTAAGAAGCAGTTCCAACATCACATTTCTGCTATCTTATTGATGTGCCATAGTGTTATTTTCTTAGTCATAAACATCACTAATTATTATGCTACTGCAAAACTTGAAATGTGATCAAGACCTGTAATAACCTGTTTGTTGGCACCCTAACTTGCATAGTCTGCATTTCAAGTTCAGTACTTTACAGAGAATTGTCCCAAATGCAATCGACCATCACCAGTTGGCTCAGTCACGCCTTTTATAGGCACAATTCCATATCAAAGCAAAATGAATCATCAGTCTACTGGGAGCAGCTAGCAATGTTTTCAGCCCTGAATGGGCAGCATTCACAATTTCTTAAGTCAGCAGATAAACCTCTTCCTACATAGCAATTTTCATGGAAATGGGATGGGTAGTTTTGTAGGACTTTCACTGCGCCTTCATTTGATTGGGTTTAAAAGCTGTTTTCAAACACAACTTGTTAGGTCAACTATTCCAGAGTACACCTAAATGAACATCTGAGTTTGTTCATGTTGTGTATCTCTGCAGTTATGTATGTACATGTCCCTGCTGCAGCTGGTCTGATGAACGGAAGGAGCCATGACACATCCTGAATCATATGACATCCGTATGATTTGCAGCAATGAACTTTAAATACAGTGTTCTTCAACAACAGTTTAAATATATCTCTAGGGTACATTAGGGAAATACTTAACATGCTTCCTAAACTTCCAGTAAAATGTATTTACAGACTCTAGGAAATAAGAGTTAAAGCCTTTCCTTGGCAATTTTCACCAGTGGCGCAAGTAAAATTAGTTTGAGGGTTCTGTCCTGAGATGGTCACTGTCCTGGTTCTGTTTCTGTAGGATCAAAGGGGAAAGCAAAACTACTGAGAAAATATTTACTGAGCAAAATCACTGCTGGAACATTGTAGTGCCTTCCTAGCCAGAGCCATTTCCAGATGGGACATCCACTCCTGTCCACTGCAGGAGAGCCCTGCACAGGCATCAACTGCACAGCCTCTGCCTCAAAGAAATTCCATGTACTCCAGAAGCAGCCTGAATTCCACTCTGTCCTCAGAGGTGAATTTCCTTGAAAAAAAACTACCCAGTCACGCCAGAGCTCCTCTGTAAATGAGTTGATCAGCAATCTGTCTTTGAAACAACAGTATCAAAGCATTATTTTTATAATAAAACCAATCCATCTGAAGTTGATGGTAGGTACCTACAACTACGGAACAACTTTGTCTGCAGAAAAAGATCTGCTGTATTGGTATTGGGTAGGATGCCAAGGAAAGCTCTCTTTTACTGTCTTTTAAGTATTCATAGGCGACACTTAGTTTTAATATGAGCTCAGGGGTTAGAAATGCTTAGAATAATCCAAATATTCTAAAACTGGTGAGTATCACTGCTCAGATTGGAAGACTGTGCTACTTAGATTGCCTTAATGTCTTTTATAATTTATATATAATTCAGTGTGACACATCCAACATTAACAAGAGCAGAAAGAGAGTAAAAATCCATTTATTATTAAGACAAGCACTAAGCAACTCATACGAAGATAGATGGTCCCAAAAAAATGAGGAGGCATATTTCAATCTGAGATATAAGCAAAGTAAAATAAACCATATATTTGCAAGACATACCTACAGGTATGGACACTATGCTCTAGAAAACAGAAATAACTTCAGGCTGGATTATGATCCCCTTGGAGTAAATCAAATCCTGAACTCAGGATACTCATGAATGAGAAAGCTCACAATATAACTTCAATTCTAATATTGTTGTGTCTGTGCCTTTTAGAACACCAAGGATGAAGAATCCGATGAGAGGTAGAGGCTTTTAGCTTTAAAAAAATATTGACATGGTCCCATTAGAAATTATTGTACTGATAAGAGAATCATTGTATTTGCTGCAATATTTACCAGGTATTTCTATGTACACTGAACAGAAATTTATCCAGTTTATCTAAGCAACAGAAAAATTTCTCATTATATTTATCTTTCATGTAAATGAAAAGGTCTAACTGAAATGAAGCCAACAGACAAGCTGCAAACTATGGCACTTGTGGGCAATGTGGATTGATACGCCACAAATCAGGAAAGCTGGTTCAGTCACACACATACACACACTGGATTTTGTCTATGAGTCATAATTATGGGAAATTAGATCTTCTAGGAACATCATGTTCATAAATTTGACAGTAGGAATAGCATGCTTTTTAATACGGCTGATTCAGAAAGCAAGTTACAAGACAACCTGTGTGATGGTGATAACCACACATCATTCTCAGACCACATCACCCAGGGAGCTACACACAAACATTAACATAGCAACCCTTCCAGTATTTTATGGAGCAGGAAAATTGCTCATGCAAAGCAAAAGGAGAGGTCTGCAGCTTCTGTGACATGTGGTGTGGCATTGGTGAAACAAACAGCATGTCACATCCAAGAAGACAGTTTGTGACGAGCTTTGCTCCCCACTGAAAAGCGGGCCATGTGTCAGAAAATGCTTTGCCATAAAAGCAACATGTCAGTAACCGTTTGGTCATCTGTAGGAGCATTAGCAGACTATCAGGCACATGAATGTCTGCAACAGTCATAATTAGAAAATGAGAAATATTTGCACATACGCATTTCTCTTTCACATCCTTCTTGGAAGATGGTGTGCTCTATATGTCTAGAGGAGCTGTTTTGCACTGCATAAAGTGAATGAGGAGTATGACAGAGAAGGGTATCCTTAGAGACTCACAGCATATATGGTCATAGTCACTGTACGGTTTAAAAACTAACTGTATTGAGCTAAGTTCCCTAAGTGGTGATAATGGGACCGTGTCAATTTAAAATAAATATACTTTCCATTATAGTAGTTGCTAGAGTTTGGTATGCCCTTGTCTCCAGAATCACTATATGGAAACTCAGTGAAGCATTTCCAGAACAAGTCAGTAAATGCCACAGTTGCAACTAAAACTGAAATGGATACCTAAGATTAAGAGAAGCTGGTTTGCTAATAAAACTTCAAAATTATAGCAACTTTTCTGGAAATCAAACTGCCTGACTCCCTTACACATTTGGCAGCAGTGGGTCCATGCTTTTCTTGGTTTCAAAAATAAAAGAAACTAGAGAAAAACTGACCACATTTTTGAAGGATCAAAAGAAATCCTTTACAACCACAAGCTCAGTAATATGCCAAAGCTGAAGCAGAACAGGGTAAAGCCAAAATTTTAAAGCTTCCTGCAGCTGCTTTGACATACCGACTTCTTCAAGTTGCTTGTGGTTATCAAAGGCATCAGAAATGATATCCACACTGCATATTCCAAAAAGTACTTTGCAAGAACTAAAGGATGACATGGAGCCAAGATTTTCCCACTTACAAGAAGTATACGTGAGAGGATTCTTAATACTCACAACTTCATACATTAGTTTCATGATAAAAATGATTTTATAACTGGAAATATACATTTTTTTTTACAATACCCTCCAAACAGGTAGAACAAGTTGATATCACAACCAGCCGGCAGATTATAATTAAAATACAACTTTGACTTTTTATTAATAATAGAGCAATACACTAATTAAATCCAACATCGATTGAACTTTCTATTTACACTAGTTCAGACAGCACAGGAGGCAAAGAACTGTGTTTCAGAGGCATATGCGAATGTTAGAGCTTCTGTCATCCAGGTGCCATTTCTGACAGAACACATGTGTGCTGAACAGTTGGCAAAAGAATGAAAAAGATTACTGTAGATATATGGGCACACAGAATCTGGGATGACATGAAATTAAGTCCATATAGGAGGTGACAGACTGCTTCTAAAAAGATAATTTTTTCCTACAATTTCTTCCATCTTTTGGGAGTGCATTTGTGCATACACGTTTAAAAGGAAGATAAAAAGGGAGAGAAAGAAAGAGGGGGGGGGTTGATATACTTTAAATACAAATCAATAAAGGATTTTTTTTTTTTTTTTTTTTTGGTATGATATTTCCGCTTTCTTTTGGGAAAAGAAAAAGAACCTAATTCAGCTATTAGGAAGCTTTGATTCCTAAATTTGGTCAAGGCAGATTCTTCTCCTGCAGAGTCAGCATCAATACCCAAGATAATAATAGCACCTGTCTTTTGACATCAAAGTTCTCTGCCTGAGAAAATATAATGTAAACAATAAACTTCCCGTATTGTGCTGCAGCTCCTGATTTTGGCATGAACCAAATATGCTTGCAGGGCATGAGTGTTCTTCCTTTCTTCTGGAGATCTGGAATGTAGAAGTAACGTACTGCAAAACTTATGAATTTGGACTGCAAGAAATGGCATTGTTTACTGTCTCCCAGTGAAGGGACTTTGTTCCTATGTAGTCTTGTTCAAGCTGAAGAAATCTTGATGATAGATTAATTGCATCTGCTAGTTTTCATCTGGATCCAGATCAAGGTCAACTTCACTGGAAATGTTAAGATAAAAGAAAGCATAAAAAGCCAACAGAAGTGCCAATATAGCTGCAAGGACAAGGGCAACTTCCTGTAGAAATAAGAGAAAAAAATTAAGACAGAAACTGTTAGAAACAATATCATCATTTAAAATAAACCAAGTTTAACTGTTATTTCCCTTCTATACTGCACAGCAAAATAACATCAGACTTTGTAGAATGATTTCTTCTTGATTACCATTTCAGAGTGTTATAAAATCCATTTTACTTAGTAAACATTTCTGCAAGTTTGATACACCGCCAGAAATATTTGGCCTAAAGATCTTTGGTTTGACCTAGAAATGGGAGATTTATGTCCTTTTATTATTCCACCCCTTCCTTTTTAAAAGAAAACACGGAACTCATGAACCACAGTTTTGAACACAAATTTAAGTTACAAATTTACACTGTGAATTTTGATGTTTTCTAGCAATATGTTACTGCTTTTTGCCAACAAATTTGTAATTTTTTAATGAAGCAAACACAGTATGTTGAAAGTCAATGAAAATTGCTACCTCTACCTCCCAACTTCCTGGCATGCATCACAATATGGATCTACAAAATCCTTCAGAATTGGATGAAACTTTTCTTCCTTCCCCTCTGCAATAAGGCAAAAAGCACAACAATTTGCACTTGCACTTGCCTCTCTTCCCATAAAATATTACAACTCACTGCATCTTCCTTAATTAATATAAAAACGTCTTCCAAAGTATACATGATTTATAGCAGCTTTCAGAATCAGTAAAATGCTTTTGTACTGAAAAACCATACTCATTATGTGAACGCCTATCATCATAATCTAACTTAAGGCTGGACTCAGTAAAAACTTCAACTTTACATCTCAGATAAAACAAATCAGAGTGTGAACATCCTCTTTTTAACACCATTTCCAATGTCAGAGCGTTTCACATTTTTAAGTTTTTATTTTCCAGGAAAGCACCACACACTTCTTATAGTGTTGACTGTCATTCTGTTAGACAATAAAAGCAGAAACATGAATTTGGGAAAAAAAACAAACCCTATGTTCCTTCAGGTGAGTTTGCCCACCTCCACAAACTATCCTTCTTCTTCAAAAAGAAGTAATAATCTTCCCTCAAAATCTCAGCTTCAGGCTAACCTACAGATCGTCTGCATCAGAGCAACACACCAATATATTTAAAAGGAGATGAGTAAAACAGTTCAGTGCATTTATAGCAAGTAACCTGAATGGGTGCAGAAAATGGTGAGTCAACATTACTCTGCGAATGGGACTGAAAGGAGACAGCTGTAGTTCATCTAGACTACCAGACAACCTTTTCAGTTACAAGAAAGCATCTGACTCTGTTGAGTGTAAGATTCCTTGTGTCCCAAACAAGATGCCAAAAAAGTCACACAAATACTCTCTAAAAATGCCTTAAGACTATGAGTGGAGTACGGATGATGGGTCTATACACAGGTCAGGTGTAGAGATCTATTCCACAGGATGGACCCCCTTCAGGATCTACCAGTTTGCGGTTGCTTTGTGACTGACTTTGAAAACATCTACTGCCATGCAGGAGTTAAAAGTGTGTTAGTTTCACTTTTTAAAGTCTAGCCCATTATCTGGCACTCTTCTAGAGAACAGCACTTCATTTGCATTTACATAAATGCATTATATAGTTTATCAGAATGTTGGATCAATAATTCAACATATGCCATCTAATAAACTTTGAAATACTACTGCCTTGGTGTATGCTCTATGGGAGTCTTTGCTCTATAGAAACTTTTGCTTTACATTTTATGTGGATGATTAATTGATGTGCACTTGGAATTTATTTTACATTAAAATTGATCCTGTAAATTGGCTGAGGCTGTTTGCTGAAGATTTCAACATTTTCCTCTTACTTTGCTCACTACCCTTTTCCTCTTATCTTTCCTCACTACCCTCTGAGCCTTCCTTTCCTGTTTTCATATGATTTGATTAAAGAAAATGCATCTAATTCACTAAAATATTAAAGAAAGTGATTTTGCTTTGTTGCAGTTGCAACACGTCAGTATCTCACAAAAGGGCACGGCAGCATCAGACAGGTTTCATTTATTTCCTTGTATCCGCAGCTGTGCTCCCAGACCCATCTGGCCACACAGCTACTAATCTTAAGAGGATGTAATAAACAAGTGACATACAACTGCAAGCTCCATCTGCTCAGCAGAGTGGACAACAAAACCGTGCAGTGCAGGCACCGTTCACACTTGACACAGAGAGCAAATTCATTCCGGTATTAAAAAGTTTTTCCCTCGTTTGGATGCCACACTTGCTGTCCTTTCTGCTTTACAGTAAGTCCTCTGCCCCTCTCCCTTCTGTCCTCTTTCCCCTATGGAATTCTGCGGTAGCAACAGCTAAATTCTGGCAACGTCTGCACTAAAGATTTGTATTCTGGGAAGTGGAACAGGGACAATTTTGATTTTATTCTCAGTATCTGCTTTGATGAGAGCAGCTCTTTAATTCCTCTCTGCCGAAGTTTTGCAGTGAATAATGTGAGAGAACATTACTTTCCTCACACAGGCACTAGGAAGGAGCCTGGATCAGCATTTGCTAACCCTGGGAATGACAGGCCTTATTGAAAGTCCTAGTCTGAGAACTATGCAAGCACCTTAATTCTGAGTTACTGAAGAAGGCCGAGAAACAAAAATCTAAAATAAAGTCCAACAAAGGATGCCTCGCTCTCAGATAGAGATATGCAGTCTCTTAAGAATTGTATCCAGTTTATGAACTTTTAGAAACATAAATTTTGCAATGTAAGTAGCAAATGAGATGCTACACCACTGCACTGTATTTGCAACAACAGTACATATTGTCATTCTAATTTGTTTTATACTTATCAGGCTTTGCTATTTGTATTTTAAGCCATGCATAGAAATGAAATGTTAAAATACTCCCCGCTCAGCATATATAGTTCCCATTCTCTTGCACGTTATGGATCATCCCTATCACCGCTCTGCAAAATCCATTTACTCAGAAGATTTCAACATGAATAATTAACCAATACAGAAAAAAGTCCAATAGAAATAAACTTAAAATGATCACAGGGCTTTTTCTCCCTCTTTTTTTTTTTTTTTTTTTTTTTCTTTCATAAGCATGTTAGGAAATAACATCTCTGATCTCAAACTCCAAAATACGGTCAGACACCTGTAAAAGGAACACAATTTTCTACTATATTTTCTAATACTTCCAATATTTTCTGTAGAACTCTACTGATTTTAGCTTAGGTAACTTTGTCAGAAACTTCTTCCATAAAGGAAACACGTGCCATTATGGGATACCATAGATTTAATTCTCCTATCATTTTTTGTTAGATTTATGTCTCTCATGCAAAAATGTTCATGTAATGTCCTCAGATTTGCTTTGATGGAATAAATTGCAGAATTGGGATCTAAATGAGCTTAAGCAGGGCATGAAAAAAATGAAGGACCAGACAAGAAAAAAAATGTTGGCTATGGCAACGCAAATCTGGACGCTGTGTATGACAGTATCATATACCACAAGTAAAGAGTAGTGACACACTCAGGAAATTTTGGATTTTTTACATCTAAACTTACATTTTATTGTCCTCCAAAGAGAAATGTACCTTTTTTAACTGACACCATCTTAAAACTAGGTGAAAGATTACCACAGATTTCTGTCTCTGAAATGTTTAACTATCCCAAGTAATTTCTGAAAAGGGATAAGAGGAAAAGCATTCGGATCAAGGATACTTATATAGAACAAAAACAATGGTACATGGACTTGAAAATAAATCTTGTTATTCCACATATTATTTCTAAGTGGAAGGATTTATTTGGGCATTCACTGTAACCATTTTTTACAAGGTTAGAAATAATAACTAACAATGATTGTTGACGTCGATGACATGGCAGCTTCAGAATCATAGAATAGCCTGAGTTGAAAAGAACCAGAATGATCATCTAATTTCAACCTCCCTGTTACATGCATGGTTGCCAACCACCAGACCAGGCTGCCCAGAAAACCCAGGACCTACATCCTTAATGCAGGAGATTCTACATCTAATACAAGGTAGCAAAAATTAACTTCTATCAGTAATTTTGATAATTAAAATTTTCAGATGGCACAAAGACCATTATGGCTTCAAATAATGAAGACAAAGTACTATTACAAAGTCACCTAAAACATCTGGCTATGTGATCACAAAGCAGCAGGATTCATTTTAACATAGCTAAACACAAGGCAATATATAAAGTTATCGAAGATGTAGGCAGTACATACAGTGTGAAGGATTCTGCCTTGAAACCCTCTGACTCTAAAATAGTCTCATAATTTAAGGGGCAACCACTCCTTCAGTGTGATTCTCTAGATGTGGAAAGAGATTTCCAGTAGGGAGATGACTGGTATTTATTTTATTATAGAGAAGAATGAGAGGTAGCCTGGTTACAACATATAACTATATATTCCATATACCTGTATTTAAGTAAGATGCTTCACAGTGTGAGGTCTTACTACCTTGTTTATAGGAACCTCTCAAGGTCCAGCTGAGGTTAGATAAGCTCTCAAGCTAAGTCTTGAAATAAGATGCCGTTTGCTAAGAACAGGAATGACTGAACTTTTGAGTTGCCTCTTTGGAAGAATATTGGACTTCCATGGCTGTACATCCTTTATAATGTTTCTCAACAAAATAAAATAGCATGAAGTATATATTCTTTAGCTATTGGGAAGAATACTTCAACTAGGACGAATGCTAAAGGAAATCCCTGCTGCTAGTCTTGGGAGCTGATTGCTTTCCTCCTTCAGGGTCATGGGATGACTGGGATTGCTGACATGGTCAGTGCTGTATTTGCAGCTTCTGGAGCACTACGCTGTTCAAAATGATGATAGTTCATACTTTTGTGCTTCAGACTTTTCTATAGAGGATCAAACAGTTTCCTTCTCTTCCAAGAAATTTAGACCTGATGGAGAGGATCCAGAGGAGGGCCATGAAGATGATCAGGGGGCTGGAGCAGCACTTCAGTATTAAAAAGGGGATCATAAAAATGAGGGAAATCAACTTTCTACAAGGGTAAACTGATATAGGACAAGGGGGAA